TGATTCTAGATCGTTCGAGGACGAATATTTGTTTAAGAGGTGGAGAATATAACGACCCGATCGGTCGTTTTACTTTCTAGATCTCCATTTTCCTAAATAAGACTCCCCGTATGTGATATTATTATTTTATGACTTGCGGGGATGGTTAGTTCGGGAATTGAAAGGGTTCGGGATTAAATCGGAATACTTGGTTCCCTAAGGTTGGTTAAAAGGGGCTAAGTTTGACTTGAGTCAACATTTTGTGTAAACAATCTCATAATCTGAATTTGATGGTTCCAATAGGTTCGTATGATGATTTTGCACTTGGGCGTATGTTCGGATCGGGTTTTGGATGATTCGGGAGCGTTTCGACGCGTAATATTGGAAGTTGGCACCTTGAGGGTTTTAAATTTCTTTAAATTTGGTTTGGACTAGGTTTTTATTTTATCGAGGTCCGTTTGGAATTTTGAGCCTGGAAATAGTTCTATATGGTGATTTAAGACTTGCATGCAAAATTTAAAGTCATTGAGAAAGTTGGAAAAAATTGAAAATCATAAGTTGATTCTATTGGTTTTGGGTTGTGATTAATAGTTTTAATGTTTTTTTCCGCATTCCGAGGGTGCGAGCAAGTCCGTTTTATGATTTCAAACTTGTCGGTATGTTTGGACAGGATCTCGGAGGGCCCGGACACCATTTGGACGATGCGCGGAGGTCTTTTAGCCTTAGGTGAATGGCTGAAGCACCCAGCTTCTGGTGTAATCGCACCTGCGGAGGGCCAGTCGCAGGTGCGAGCTCGCAAAAGCGGGCCAGTAGCCGCAGAAGCGGCCCAGCATGAGCAACCCAGAAATCATAGATGCGGGACTTGGCGCGCACCTGCGACCGCGCAGGTGCGATGGAAGCAACCGTAGAAGCGGCCAAAGACGTAGGTGCGACACTTGCATCGCAGAAGCGGTCCCGCAAAAGCGGGCCAGTGGTCCGCAGATACGGATGTAGGCCAAGTGGGGAAGGGCCGCATCTGCGATGATATTTTCGCAGAAGCGGCTACCCCTCCGCAAAAGCGAAAATCGCTGAAGGTAGAGTGGTCCATTTAATGCGGGACTTAGGTTATTTTGGCTCATTTTCTTTCATCTTTTGGGCGATTTTGGAGCTCTTGGAAGGGGGTTTCACCTAACACTTTGAGGTAAGTAACTTCTATACAATATGAGTTTAAAACATAGATTATGGGTAGATTTTAACATGTAAAATTTTGAAATTATGGGTTTAGATAAATAACCCTAGGTTTTGATAAAAATGAGATTTACCCAAGAAAATAATTATGGATTGAGTGAAAATTATATATTTGAGTTCGTGAGATGGGTAACAACTTTCTTCAAAAAATTTCGGAATCCGGACACGTGGACCTGGATGGTGAATTTTAGGAATCCTTTAATTGGGGTTGGGTAATCACTCTAATAGTTAGAAGATGGACTTTTGAACATGTATTTATTAATTTATACAACCTTTGAATAGTTTCGGATTGTTCGGTACCGAGTTGAGACTTTAGAGTAAATTTGAGACCGGAAAGCGAGCTTTGAGATAAGGTAAGTCTCTTGCCTAACCTTATAAGAGGAAATTTACCCCATATGTGAATTAAATTAATATTTGCTTCTAATTGTGGGGGCTACATACGCACGAGGTGAGGAGAGTCTGTGCGTAGCTACTAATTATGCTTATGTCTGGGTAGTTTAGGACCCAAATCATGAAATACTTATCATGTTTGCACTCTACTTGTTAATTAAATTGCCTAAATTATATTGGAACTTGATAAAAGAATTGAAAAAGCCCGAATTTTACTTACTTGAGTTTTGACGGGTTACTTGACCGCTAATATAAATTATGCTTCTTTGTGTATTAGCCTCATAATAACTTTTAAATCAGATGTTCATAAAGTATCCTCTCTTCTAGTGGAGCGGGCCGAACGCCTCGGCAGTAAAATAGATGCATCTATGGTTCGTGTCGCACGACCCTCGGCAGTGTACACGTTATTCTGGATTGGGCCGTACGACCTCGGCATAAATCGTGCTTAATAACACTCAAAGCCTAACTATACTTGATATTATTTTATGGCTTGTGAGGTTTGATTATTAATGACAGGAAATTGACTTGGAAATTACTAAATGTGAAAGAATTATTCATTCCTGCTTGTCATTGAGTTGTTATTATTATTTACATAACTCATGCTTATTTAGAATCTCTTTATTATTATGGTTAGCCCATAGTAAATGTCGATGTTGACTCCTCGTCACTACTTCTTCGAGGTAAGATTAGATACTTATTGGGTATATGGTTTTTATGTACTCACGCTACACTTCTGCACTAACCGTGCAGGATATGAGGCAGGTGTATCTGACGGTCCTGCCGGCGCGCATCTCAGATATCTCGAGGCCAAGTGGTGAGCTGCTTCCTGAGCCGTCTTGCAGCCCCTAGAGCCTCTCTTTTGTATTTTTATTCTGTCTACTTTATTTCGGACAGTAGTTAGAGTTTTGTATATTCTACTAGTTGCTCATACACTTGTGACACCACGTCCTGGCACACACACTAGTATATAGTTTTGGAGCACTTATATTACTATATTGCCCCTCAGTGGTCTTTTCATTTATTGAATTTTTCACTCCTTAATTTCTTATTAAACAGAATTTAATTACTTGAAAACTTATTAAAAGAGAATTGACATGGTTTAATTCATTGTTGGTTTGCCTAGGGTGACGTTGGGCGCCATCACGGCCCATAGTAGAATTTGGGTCGTGACACCTTGACATTTTTTGTTACTCCGATTGGCAAGTGAAATATTTATAGGATTTTGTACATGTATGTACATATATATATTTAACGTTTCGATGGAAACTTGTGGGTGGCTTGCCACCCCTTCGAACCTTAGTAGATCCGCCCTTGTTGAGGGATAGAGTGATACAAATTTTGAATTACCGGATTAACTGAAATTAAATCCCATAAGTGGATATGTTTTTACCGTGGCAGAAATGCTCTGGACCCTCTAATCTTGGCAACTTTTGTTTAGTTTCTCCTTAAATTTTATGTGGTCTTTAATACCTCCCTNAAAAAAAAAATAAAATCAGATTTCAAATGGGGTATTTTTCAAATATTAATTACCACATAATCAAATATAATGATTTATTTTATTCCAATTGTATTTCTCGTTGTTTCTTCTAAATATACATTGCATATTTTATCCCAATTGTATTTTTTAGATATAATGAATATATGTTTCAACTATGTATTTCTTATCTTTTTTTTCGGTCCAAATCTATAAAAGTTAGTTGAAACTCCATTTATTTTAGCCAGGTAAAAAGATGTGGCCAAAGTAATGAAGTTCAAATGCTGTATTTTCTACAAAAAAGAATATTGTATATTTTTATTTTTATTTTTATTTTTATACAATGACTATTAATTTAAACTATGCATTTTTCTTTTTTTGAGTCAAATTCGTAAATATTTGGTCGAAATTTTACTATTTTTAACTAAAATATTTAATAAGGAGTTCCAACAAAGTATTTTTTTTTTTTAGGTGCAATGATAATGTGTTCTAACTGTATATTTCTTTTTTTAACAAATATGTAAAATTAACTTGATTAAAATATTATTATCTTCTGTCAAAAAAATTATAATCAAAATAACGTTGTTTCAAGATAGTTGGTGGACATAAAAATATAAAAATATATATTCTATTATAAAAAATGCCACATGGACAAAAATAATCCATGTGACAGCGCGTGTGTCACACTCCCATGGATTGTCAGCGTCCAGGGGGAGTCGAGGCTATAAAATTACCAAGTTCAGGGGGGAGGGTGGGTATTAAAGACCACGTAAAGTTTAAGTGGGAACTAAATAAAAATTACTAAGTTTAGGGGAATCCCCAACTATTCTGCCTTTTTATCGTTGGTGGACGAGTAATGTCTTGGAAGTCGTCCAAGCAGATATGCATCGCCCGCTCTACAATAGAGTCTGAGTTCATATCTTTAGACAAAGCTAGTGAAGAAGCTGAATAGCTCCGAAATTTCTTAGAAGACATTTCATTTTTGCCCAAATAGTTGGCACCTATATGCATACATTGCGAGAGTCAAGTGGCAATAAGAAGGGCTGAAATCGTTAGATAACTACTCTCTAGTGAAATTATTACAACTCACAATGTAAAGTCAAAAGATAATTTATCGCATCCACTTACAAAAGGCATAAGAGGTTGTTGAGATATTATCAAGAGGAATGAGACTACGGACGAGGAGAAGTCATCATGGCGGTGACTCTACCTAGAAGACTGGAGATTACAACAAGATCTAAACTCAATCTGATTTAGAAAAAAAAATTATGATTGACGGTTCAATTTTGTCAAATAAGATTTTGCTTCATTCTTGTGATGAGACAATGTTCAGTGATGATGATAAGGCATAAGGTTGTTTTAATAATCTTTAAGTTTGATATGAGATTATCAAATAGTGTATCTACGAGATTACACGTTTAGGAATGACCTATATAATTGAAAAGTGTTAGCCGATTCAAGGAGAATTTTATAATGTCATTTCTCTACGCACTTATGAAACTAGGCAGTGTTCATGGCTGAAACGAATACAACAATGAGAACGTGTTACTTATGTTTTCTAGGTATACATCAAAGCTCGATAGTTCAAAGATATTAAATCTACGACTGACCGAGTATATTCGATATATTCACTATGAAAAGTTCAAAGGAAAACTTACTTATCTAGATGCAGTTAGTCTTTACTTGTAAATCACATATTTTTTCACGCATGTTTCCATCATATAGTCATTCCCCATTCATACGGGAGATTATTAGATTTTAAAGTGTGGATAGAAAAGTCACATTTTGGATGGTACCTCTGTTTCTCACTCTTTCATTGCCTATAAATTCAAAAGCTTGGCCTCAATTTTAAATTACTAAACACACTAGAGAGTAGAGAAGCAGCATAAATCAACAAAGAAAACGAAAACGCAGGCGTGAACCACTTGAATAAACTAAAAACAGTGTCTTTCCTGCTTTTCTTGTTTTAAAAAATTATCATCTGAGAGGACGGGACGCTAGATACAAGCTTTCATCATTACTGTCCAACTGCCAAATGGCTTTCTAATTTACATAATCAGAGAAAAAGAAAAGCAAAGAAAGGAAGAAGAACCTAAAAGAATTCCTAAGAGAAAACTAAAAGCAAAGTCAAGAAGTGAGAGCTAAATTGTTTTTTCTTTTTCTTTTCTGGGCATTCAACCTATTCTCTTATCTTCTTGCTTCGCTTCTGTAAGACATGAAGAAAGATTTATATACTGGCAGTGGAATGCAACCATCTGCTGCAAATGGTATGATAAACAGGCATCATCTGTTTGGAGCAAAAGAAAGAGCCAACTCCACATCATGGAAATTGCATCTATCCTAATCCGGCACTTTGCTGAAAAGGGCTAAAACCATGTAGTTGTCTAATTCCAATATTTGAAGTTTATCATCCACTGCAACAATCACAAATCCCTTCTTGGTCTCGGAGTCGACGCGCCTGAGTGAGGCCTTTGGACTGGTTGAGTTCCAGGGTCATAATTTTGGGAAGCAAGATAGTTTAGGGCTGTAACTACGTCAGCTATGAGAGGGCGCATGTTGGGCTGCTCCTGGACACACATTGCGGCTACTGCAAGAGCTTGATACAAGCCTCTAACTGGATACTGACCTTGAAGCATTGGATCAGCCATTTGTGAGAACTTTCTACGGTCTTTGAACAATGGTCGAGCCTGCAAATATTGAAATGTAGCTCCGAGTATAAATTTCTTACCCATAAGTAGCCATTGACCAACTAAGAGTTTCGAACAAAAAGGCTCTTAACAACGCATCTGTAACAAAACTCTTCCACGCAATTGAGCAGCATATTATATGACATGATTTAGAGCTAAATAATTAGCAACGCAATGACACTTCTAGAGCTATCTCTTCTAAAAGCTTTCTAACAATCTCGAGAGAAGCAAGAACTGGATGAAACTAAATGTACTTTAGGTTGGTATGCATGGGATTTCGAAAAGCAAATAACTGGATAGGGCACCTTTACAACTAATTCATTATAGAAATGTAGATGACTTAATACTAAATGACACTGAGACTGCACAAAATTGCAGCGATGAGGTTCCGACTAGTAAGAAGATTGGTGTGTTTCCTAGGGAATTGTATCTTTTGTAGGTTCTCTAATACTTTGTATTACTAGTATGCAGGAGTAGTTCCCAACATTAAATAAATGATTATTTACCTTATCATAAAATAAAATAATAAGATATGCAAACATGCTGTAATGACTTAAAGACAAGCTGCCCCGTCATTGCATATGGAAACATGCTGTAATGACTTAAAGACAGCCTAGAGGTTCAAAATAATGGAGAACAGCAAGAAATGCCCAGAAACCAAAAGACGACACGGTATATTCAAGTCCAGGTGAAGCATTTGAGTGATTGATTCTCGAAAGCAGGCAAAAAAGATATTTCTGAAACCTTAGGACATACTGAAAATCACAACAGGTAAGGTAGTTCAACTTAATAAGATATATCAACTAGTTGAAGATTTATGAAAAGACACAAATTCCGCAGCTTAACTTTAATAGCAAATTTTTTTTATCTTACCCATGCAACCAGATTCTGCTCCCCAGCAGCTCTTGACGTGTCAATTGCCCTTCTACCAGTAATAATTTCTAGAAGAACAACTCCAAAACTGTAAACATCAGATTTAAGTGTAAGCTGCCCCGTCATTGCATATTCTGGTGCACAATAACCATAGGTTCCCATGACTCTTGTGGAAACATGGGTTTTGTCGCCTACAGGACCCAGCTTAGCCAACCCAAAATCAGATAGCTTCGGGTTATAATCTTCATCAAGCAAAATATTGGAGCATTTTAAATCCCTGTATATAACAGGTGGATTCGCTTTATCATGCAAGTACTCTAGCCCCTTGGCAGCACCGGCCGCAATTTTCATTCTTGTATTCCAGTCTAGTCGTCTTTTTTCGGGTGAAAGCTCTGGATCATTTAAGCAAATACATGACATATTAAATGCCAAAGAAAAGATAACTCAGATATAATGACACATCATTTTTTTAATTAAACAGGCTTAATTAAGGGAAAGACAAACTTCATAAGATTAACGAGAAAAGCCTACCAACTAAGATACTGTATGCCACAATTGAAATCGCAAGTCATATTTTCCATTGGCTTCAAGTTTCTTTACCTTAACAAGCATCTGGAAATGCTTGGGAACACAAACAACTAGCTTCAAGTCCTGGCAGATATCAATTTGTATAAAAAAGGAAACTATGTAATAATATCTCCTTTTGGTTCCGCAAGATTTGATATCAATCCCTTGGATCACTAAGGACTTGACAAACTAACTAGAACTGTCGTCAAATAAATTCCAGATGAAAATGTCATTATCACCTTCTTTGGGTGAATAATGACTTAAGGTGGAAGTCACGCAATTGCCATTTGCATCTTAAGAATGCATTTTTTTTTTTGGAGATCCAGAATACGCAACCATTAAACATACCATGTAGATGGTCTTCCAGTGATCCTAACGGCATGTACTCGTAAACTAGAAGTCTCTGATCTCCATCAGCACAATATCCAATCAAGTTGACAAGGTGTGGATGGTGAAGTAGGCTTAACATCAGGACCTCAACAAGGAATTCCCTGTTTCCTTGCAATCCATTTTGGTCAAGTTGCTTGATGGCCACGATCTACAAAAGAAAGCACTTTCAGGTCTCACAAACAATGTAAACAGTACATGAAAAAATCAATTGATTATACTGATCAATGGAAACAGAAGTATTCTACGACCAAGCACGGTATGGAGAGATCGAAGGGAATGACCCTGTGACACATGGAACGTATTAGGTGGATGAGCCTTGTTTTTCTTGAGGCTAGTAAGCTCTAGTATCTTTTCCCACTGATAGTACAGAAGTATAGACAAAAGCTAGTTATGCACAGAGGAAAAATCAATTCAAAGGAGGCAAAACTAAAATGTTGTAATCTAGAAGCACCCTAGTTATGTACAGAGGAAAATCAATTCAAAGGAGGCAAAACTAAAATGTTATATTCTAGTCGTGCTTCTAAAACTTATGCTGTTGATGTAATAATTAGCCTCACAAGAGTGAGAGAGTTGCAGAAATATTCTTTTTTTTAAATGAGAAGAGGATTAGAGGCAGGAGGATAGCATGAAAAAAAAGTGCAGGTAACGAAGATGTTCAATTAAAGCACTATCAGCCGAAGGACAGGAGACGAGGTATCGTGGCACAACATTCTAAGGGTGTAAACCTCAGAGGCAAAATATAAGAGGCAAATCATAAAGGCTTTTCTTCCTCAAAGTCATCGGGAATGGACTTTTGGTGTGAACAGGAATTAGGTGTTGCAAGGACTTTTGGTGCGAACAGGAAGCTCTTCAGCAGTAATATCCATTCCCACCCCCATAAAGAAATTATGCTCTATTGAAAACTGGAATCCAATAACAGAACTTTTGAATTGTTGAACTTGGTCAAGATTTTAGAGGGTGAGGGCTGGTGAAGCTAGTGCAGACGGCAGATAAGAAAGAAGCAGATTGGACTGTTTCATCTCACTAGACTTAACCCTGGAAGCAATTTAGGGGGCTTACAACAGCAGTGTTTGTTAGCATAAAGCTAGTAGGATGAACTAGCTGCTGCTTATTTCTTCTTTAAAATTGCTGCTATTTAATGAAAAAAAATGGCCTACACTGAAATAACTTCTCCTTAAGCTGCTTCTTATAACAAGCAGATGATAACAAGAGATTGGCACGACCTTGAGGTGGAAGTCCATTATGATCATTTAAAATCTTCTATTTGTGCCGAGTTTTGATGAGGGTGCCGATTCCCTTTGTGTCAGTTTTATTAGTCTACCTATAAATGAGAAAAATTAAAAGGTTCTAGCTCTAAATCAAGAACCTGAAACTAGATTAGTTCTCTTCCATTAGTCGGAGTGAGTGGTTTCACAATAGTTGAGCTAAACCGAAGTTGGAGTCACATTTTAAAGACAAACCTTGCATCATCACTTCAAATTAAAGATAGAATATCAAAATCTACCGTACGTGCAGTGAAATCCATGCTGCTGCTTAGAAAGTCAAAACTCTTCCACTATTTTTAAAGGCTTTGCACTTTCCTCTCCAAAAGGAAGGAAGCAAGAAATAGTATAGCATGAGATTGGAGAGTTCCAACTCAAAATTAACTAATAAGAACAAAATATGTTTGAACACATTGATTACAAAAGGCAGGTCACACTCGTAATTCCATTTTAAGAGTTAATTTATGAGCTAAACCAACCTGATTGGTTCTCTCTAACCGCCCTTTATATACTCTACCAAAGCCTCCTTCTCCCAAGAGATAATCTGCCCTGAAATTTTTGGTTGCAGCAGCTAATTCACGAAATGTAAATGTATGTGCTGCGATATGTCCAGATCCACCATTTTTGGAGCTATCCTTCAGTTTTTCTGAAACAAGAAAAGTGAAAATTGTTAATGTTTCTGAGAAGTGAATGTCCGGAAGGCTAATGTTACTTCCAAGCAGCGTCTCATTGCTGAAAGGAAGAGAATTCTGCCTTCACTAACCATTTAGGAGACCGAAAACAAAACAAAACAAACAGAGGTGGGGTGCTTTCTGATCATACATAAAAGCGAAATGCCTATCAGCAGTAATAGTACGTTGTGCTTACTAGATTTATAGTGTCCATAAACATTGCCAGACAAGCAACAAAAACTTAGTACTCCCTCCGTCCCAATTTGTGGCACTGTTTGAATTTCTAGAGTCAAATGGGCTTTTCTTTGACCAGAATTTTTCATGTGCTTTTTTAATATTTTGAATTGTTAATTATTGTGACTCATAGTACTTGTTACATCGTTTTCAAATATGTAATTTATTTCCAAAAACTTAAAGATTCTATGTCCAAATAATTCACGGTCAAAATTAAGAAGTTAGATACTCGAAATCCGAACAGTGCCACATAAATTGGGACAGAGGAAGTGATAAATATAACAGATGCATTGATACTACATTTATTTTACAATTTGACAATCTGATAAGACAATTGAAAAGTCCCAATGTTAACAGCATTCGGTGGCAAAATGAAAAATGATTCATTTGCAGTGAAACATTCTAGTAGAACTTAATTGGCCCTAGTCTCGAGGTGTTATCAATTCACCTCGACACAATAGCTCCAAACAACTTCAACCCCTTTTGAAGAGTGAACTCTTGTGCTCAAAACTTAAAAGCAGCTTGAGCAACATCACTCGAGGATTACAAGTCAGCATTCCGAGAAGGCCAACTTCGTCTGACCAAATTAACTGGACAAGCAGCCAAAACTAGAGAAACACGTTGCATTTAACCAAAAAGACCATTAAGACTTCATTTTTATACAATATCTCAATGTTTCCCTAAATATTTCCTTCAATAGCATTGGCTCGATTCCAGTATAAGTTGAAACCACAGAAGGCATGCACTGCAACAAAAAGCTCCTATTGTGAAAGTTTAGCCGCTTTGTACTATAATCTTGACTCAAAGTCTCGAATTACCTAATACCTATATTAAGTTTAGTACTCCATCTGCCCCATTTTATGTGCACGCTTTCCTTTTAGCCTGTCCCCAAAAAAAGACACTTTTTTATATTTAGAAACAATATAAATTTAAACTTTCTAATTTATATTTCCATCTTATGTGTGCAACTTATTTTAGACCACAAGTTTCGAAAGCCTTTATTTCTTTAGTAACCAGTATGTTACATAAATTATTTCGAGGGGATAGGGTAAAACTCGAAAATGACAACCTCAACAAAGGGAACGACCAAAAAGAAACACATAATAGAATGGAACAAGGCATCTCATAAACTATACTACAAACAAAAATCAGCAAAATAGGACCATTTCCAAGCAAAATTAGTACCAAAAACCAAAAGCAGATTATGCCTCCTGAAAAGCTGATTAAGGTAGCTATGCAAGTGGGTATTTTGCGATGTGCCAAAAGGTGAAAATTCCAAAGAATCAACAAAAGAAATCACCAGAAAAAAAGGGGGGGAACTTTTAAATACTAAGATAGAAGATGGTAATTAAAAAGAAATAAAAAAAAAGATTATAACTTTGGATACTGATAATGAAATGCCTTCATAGTTTACAATTGTACTAAAGAATTTAACAGTACCTAAAGAGGATGGGATCTGATCAGCAGACTTGCTAATTTCTTGCTTCTTTTCTAATTTCTTGTTTGAACAAAGGAAGCATCCCATTTCTTCTTCTTCTTCTGCCTATATATTTTTTTCTCAGAGAAACAGAAGGGAGAGACAACCCTTTGAGAAAAGGGAAAGCAAGAAAGGGCCGACCAAACAGGATTTCTGACAGTGTAGAGAGAGTGAGAGATTAAATTCGGACAAATGTCTCGGGTATAAACCTTTTTGTTTGTGAATCATTTTGCTTAACTGCCCTTTGTTTCTTTGTTTTTATTAAATAGATCCAATATTCTCTATTAAGTGAAATAAAGCTAATATTTCATTATTTCTAATAATGAAGTTCATTATTTGCAAATGTTTGTTAGGCTATCATTATTTGCAAATAATGAACTACTTTATTTGAAATATTGATAAAATGTTGAAAAGCTTGTTTGAGAAGTGTTTCAAGTGAAGTGATGAGGCCTACTATGTTGTATGGAGCCGAGTGATGGTCAGTCAAGAAGATGAAAGTAGCAAAGATCAGAATGTGGCATACCAGGAAAGACTAGATTAGGAATGAAGTTATTAGGTACAAGGTGGGTGTGGCCCCCGTGAAAGATAAGTTGCGGGAATCGAGGTTGAGATGGTTAGGAGAGACACCGATGTCCCTGTGAGGGGGATGCGAGAGGTTGACCATAGCAGGGCAGAAGAGAAGTAGAGGAAGACCTAGGAAGTACTGGGGAAAGATGATTAGGCAGGACATGGCACTACTTCAACTTATCGATGACATGACCCTCGATAGGGAGGTGTGGAGGTCGAGGATTAGGGTTGTGGGTTGACAGGTAGTCAAGAGTCTCTTCTAGTCGTACTGGTGGTAGTAGTACTAGTCTTGTATTCTCTTATTCCGAGTTCTTTGTTGTTAGACGATATGGCATTATTGCCGGTAGTTTTCACACGTCTCTTGTAGTTTCGTATTCCTAGTTCCTTTGTTATAACATGGCATGCTATTTATTTATGTTATCTTATTTCCTTGCCATTGTTACTGTTTATTTATTGTGTCTTTTTCACTGTTCTTGAGCCGAGGGTTTATCGGAAACAATCTGTCTTCCTTCATAAGATAGGGGTAAAGTCTGCGTACATGTTATCCTCTCCAGACCCACTATGTGGGATTGCATTGGATTTATTATTGTTGTTATTGTTTCAAGTGAAGTAATAATTTTACTCATAAGTAACTAACTTCTATCTAAATGAAATTCATCTTCAATCGCAATTGAACTTCCAAATATTATTTTTTAACATTACTTTAAATATTTTCTTATATCCATCAATTATATTGTCTAAAACCTGCCAACTTTTTGAGGAGAAAAAAGTTAAAGTGTTGACAAAATTGCAACTCTTACTTTTGTTGTATTTATGATTCATATTGTAAATTTTATAATTTAAATCTCTAAATTTATTGAAAATTATAATGAAAGTGTGGTTTTACGAATATTATTGGAATTTTAAATTGTGTCATTATTAATGCAATTGAGTGACGAGAATTCGGTCTTCACAAACTTGTGAAACTTTTCCTTAAGCTACTCCAACTACTGTTTACTATAGTCACCCGGATCGTGCTGACTCTGTTAGCAAACATTAATTAAATCATCTCCCGATTTGTTGATCTATTAAGTTGAGACAGCTCTGCATATAGTATTTTAGACTAATACTTCATTATCGCCTGATCCTTGCTATTTTAAAATGCACAGGTCCAATAAAAAGTTATAGTTGTTAAATATGAATGTTATATCAAGCAAAATAATATAATTGATGAAATAATTCTTAACTTATAAGTATAATTTTGTATCTTATTTGTAACAGAATCAAATTCGACACATACATGCATAATAAGATAAAACAATTTAGATGTACACTAAAAACTCTAATAAGATAAGAAATAATTTTATATGAGTGAAAAATCTTTTAAAACAGGCCATAAATTTATAGTCGAATAAAAAGGAGAATAATTGTTTAACTCTATTCAAAGACCAAAAATAGCATATTGACTAAACAAATACTATAACACTTTTTATAATTTTGTATTGTTTGTAACAAAATCAAATTTGATGCATACATGCATAATGCGATAAAATAATTTAAATGTATACTCAAACATTTAGTAAGACAAGAAATAATGTTATATGAGTGAAAACTTTTAAAATGGGCGATAAATTTATAGTTGTATAAAAAGAAAATAATTATTTAAATCTATTCAAAGACCAAATAACATAATGACTAAACAAATACTATAACACCTTTTTTTTTTAATTATATAATAGCAAAAGCAAAACATGATGATCCAAAAGATAAATTTAATACTTTACACAAAATAGATAAAACAATTTATAACTTGAGTCATATTTTTCAAGAAAAAATGCTATTTAGAAGGAAAAACATATGTTATCATCAGACCAAAGAAATATTGAAATGAGGTAGACAAAAGTTATCTTAAATTCATAATTTTTTTTATTGAAATGGTTGCCTACGATATTAAACAACAAGTAACTTGAGAGAAGGGCGTAAAGGTGTAAAAAAAAAAAAAAAAAAAAAAAAAAAAAAAAAAAAAAAAAAAAAAANCTTGTTTAGTGAAAAGTTCAATGAAATGTGAATAAATTTGTTAATATGGAAAAAAAAAAAAAAAAAAAAAAAAAAAAAAAAAAAAAAAAAAAAAACATGAGAACTTGGGAGTGCATAGTTCAATGAATTAAAAGAATAGTAATAAGCTAAAAGTTACAGGGTAGAAATCGTAAATATGTAAAAGATGAGTACTACAATCCATTTAATTCCTCTTGTCGTCCTTTAATATTTTTAAAAATTGGTCCGCGGAAATCACTCTGTCACTGCCCCAAGTGACAAATTGATAATCGTGGAACCCTCTCCGTACTTTATTGTTGGGCACCTTAGACCATGTCAAAATGACAAATTTAACCTTGTAATTTCTTTTTCATTACTACTCGCATTAAATAGGAGGAAGTTATGCATACAAACTATCCTTTCTTTAGACGGAGATGGCGGCTTGGGAAGAGTTTCTAAATAAGTATTCAATTACTCCAACCTTTATTCTTTTAAAAACTATTCACATTTATTATCTTCTAAACTTTACTCTTTGTCAACAATTTATCTTACACCCTCTGTCATAAATTTTCTTTAAACCGTTGCAGATGATGGTAGTATACTAAAAAAAAAATCAATTATATTGCATTATGCAAATTTTAAATGGGATTCACGTTGAACAATAGGCATTTCAAATGTTATCTTAATTTTAGCGTCATAAACATTTATGAAAAATTAGTTTGGAAGTTAAAGTATGATTCATCAATGGTAGTAATACTGCCAGAGAAACTATTATATGATTGCGGCTGTGTATATCCAAAATTTTACTATCAAAAGGTAACGTTTATCGTTTTCTATCTAGAATTCTCCTACTTAATTCCCCCCACCCTCCACCCTCCCACAAAAGTACATCATGATAGTGGAAATTTAGGTTATACCCCAATCTTTAGATAATCATAAAAGATAAGTACAGGGAGGAGAGTATAAACCATAGCTTTCAAAACATGATAGAGAATGATAGTACTCATTCTTTTGTACATCTAATCAATAAGACATTGCCTAACTTTGGTGGTTACATACTTTACAGTATTTGTACATCGAGCTTCACAAAAAGATGTTATGAGCATAGTTGTAAAAACTATACAAACATCATCACTATCTAAGGTTAGCATCGTTAATTATGAAATAGTTCTTTCTTGGTCTAAATCTGAAGTTTGAAATGCTCTGCTGATCCAATTTCACAATTACCTTCACATAATCTGGTAAGGAGCTCTGATTATCAAAGATAATTATTTCTCCCCTTTTCACCCATGTTTGCTAATTGATCCGCAGCCATATTACCCTTTCTGAATGTATGGACAAAACAAAAATTACCATTACTTACGAGAAAAATAATCTGGTCTATGATATATTGAATGTGCCAAGGAACCTTCATTTTGTTATTAATCATGTCTACTATCAATTGGGAATCACCTTCAACTATTACATTGGAGTATCGACCAGTAATGCACATTTTTATACCCTGAAGCATAGCTTTGGCCTCATCCATGTTGTTATTACAAGTACCATAATAATCAGCAAATGCGAAAATGCAAGCACCTTGACTGTTTCTAAGTATTCCCCCTCCGCCAGAGTTTTCTGGATTCCCTTTACTACAACCATCCATGTTTAATTTTCCTCATCCATCTCATGTTTATACCATCTTAACAATTGGCTGGTAATGACATGTCTAGCCATCTCCATTGTTGTGCATAAAGCATGCCAAGGATGATGAAGAGTAACTTTGGGGAATTGAATATTTTAAAAAAAAGTCATATATTTAGACACTTGCTGAATTATGAACCTTTCGGACATGTGAGTATTTTTAAATCTGGAAGTACACCTACTCTTCCCAATCTCATAACAGATAACTAATGGTAGGCATTGTAACAAAGTAACATGAATTTTATTCTTTATTTTTGCTAGCCACCAACACATTAGAATATGTCTAATATTTTCCATTCTCAAGGTGATACCACTATATCTATCAAAGAATAGCCAAACTTGTGTAGCAATTTGGCTTTTGCAAAAGAGATGAGTGACTGTCTCCTCATTTTGTGATTAGTACAGCAGGAGCACATGGATGGAACCATTCTACCAAAATTCTGAATCATTTCATCAGTAGGAATTCTGGACAGAATCATCCTCAACATAAAAAAATGAGATTTTGAAAAGAATTCTATTGTGCGATATAATAGATGCAGTGAAAGATCTGGCCATTTGTTTTCTCATATTTTCCCATGCCGATTTACATGTAAAGACTCCATTTGAATCAATTGACCAAACTGGTAAATCCTCGCTGCCCCCATAAATCTCAATCTCCAGAATATTGCTAATGCAACTATCATGGATGCAATATGGCTATTATTTTGGCTAATGAAGTCCATATCACATAAGCATAAGTATCTTTGCAAAGTGTAGACTTTGTTGGAAATATTCTTTGGGACCCCAAAAATATTGCATTGTGTGTTGGACATCATTTACACAAGTTGTATCTCTTCTTTTACACCTAAGAGGCCAAGACTTTTTTGCTTATAAAAGGGAAGGTCATTAGTTCATTTTAGACACACCAACAAGACT